TGATCAGCACCCCCTAGTGTTTATGAGCAAATCCCAAAATTATGAATATTGCAGCACCACGGCGGTCGTTTGCCCTTACTAGTGACTGCAGATGCTCTGCAACATTCACACTATTCCCCCCTCCCTTCCTGCCATGCTGGACTCACTTACATTGCCAAATCTGTCTCCTCTCTGCTGCAGTTTCTTTCCATTTGAGGGAGAGGAGAATCAGCTTGGAAATGCTTTTCGCGCCAACAATGGAAGCTCCTGGGTGCCATAATATCGCATGAGTTCAAACACAAATTCTCTGCAAAAGAGATCATGACCCCTGGAAGCTTTATTCTGAGGGGGGGAAGTGTTTGCTTCATTTGCATGCTATGGGGCAAAGCGTGGAATTGGAGTCGGCCGGGCACAGGAAACAATGCCGTCTGTGGCCCAGGTGCTCACGTGCGCCTTGATTTGAGGACAGAAACAAAGCCTTCAACTGAGCAGGGAGGTATCGTGGGGTGAGTCCCCTTGCACCTGCATCCAAGCTTCTGGCGGAGGAGGCAGCAGCAACAACCACCTGAGCAGCCACGATCTCCCCTCCCTAGCCAGCCAGCCACCCACCCTGCCCGACCTATTCCTTGTCTGACTGGCCGGTGGGACAAATCCTGACTGCTCCTCTCCTTGTCCTTCTCCCCACTCAAGCAGTGGCAGCAGCTTCAGTTTCTCCGCTCCGAAAAGAATAAAGCAGAGACGCTGAGCAGGATTGCTCTCAAGAAGGCGTGGATGCACTGCTCGCTTGCATGCACCGGTCTTATTGGGAGCAGTCCTACTCTGCATTTCCACTTCTTTCCACTCGGACGGAGTGGAGAAACTCAAGTCGCTGCTGCTCAAACACTTTTTATCCAAACGCAGACCTGAAAGAGATTGAAAGGTCCATGAGCCTGCCAGTGAGGTGCTTCAGAAACGGAAAGGAATGTTCTGTGTGACTGCTTGAAGCTCTTTGTGACTCAGGTCTCCATTTGGATAAAAAGAGCACATATGGGGATATTCAAAATGCAGGGATCAGTTTTGAAGCTCCATATGACAGCCCTTTCCATTTCTGAAGTGCCTCACAGGAAAGGCCTTTTCTCAAGCCCTTTTGTAGCGAAAACGAGCCCCTGGAGCAAGCACGTCTTGCATTGTGGCTCAGTTTTCACCAGGAAAAGCCTTTTCTCAAGACCTTTCCTAGCGAAAATGGAGCCCCCAGATGGAGTGTACCTCACTCTGTGGCTCCGTTTTTAGAGTTACAATTGGAATGTGCAAACTCCATTACAGGACTGCCTGAAATTCTGTGTATTCCTAGCATCAGTACTGGGAGATCAAAAGAAAACTGTGATGGAAGACAGTAAAAATGAGCTTTCATGATTGCCACTATATTTTTGCAAGAAATAGCCAACTATTATGATGCCTCTCAGAACCAATATATTTCTGTCTGCTATCTTTGGGATGGATGGCATGTCATCATTAGGAATTAGACCCTGATTAGATCTGTTCTGTTTAACTCTCATATTTAATTTCCCAATCTAGCATTCTCAATATACTTCCAAACTTTAATTATACATCCAGAGAATCATTTGTCAGACTGAGCCATGAACGTTATTGTTACAAACTTTGAGAAGAGGATAAGAGTCTTATTTTATTTTTAACAGTTAAAAAGGCCAGCATGTTTACAATAATGCTAAGATCTTTGAAAACAAGAAATTTCTTGGGCTTTCAGATTGGTTTTGTGATCACTTAGAATCCGTATAAATGTTTTAAATCTGTAAGTCAACACTTGCAGACTCTCTCATGAAAATATTGTCATCAAAATTAATCCTGCATCCTAGGATCATGATGAATGTTATTGGTCACATTGAGTACTACAATGTCATAATAAAACAGCAACTCAGAGAATAAAGAATATGGATAGTCTGTAAGCCATATGTAAAATGATAATTGGCTCTAATAAATAGATAAATAGCTAGATATCAGCTGCTTTATGGTCTGAAAGCACTCTATTTCAATCCTATCTAACTAGCCTTGGAAAGACAAGCTGCCCATCTTAATTATTATAGTAGCATGGCATATATTGAGATGTTTTTAATGGGTTGTTTAGCAAAATCAGCTCCTTGGCTGAATCCTTGTGATAGATCAAAGCAGGGCAAACTAACAGCCAATATGCCTTTAACTCTTGACTGAACACTAATTGGTTGAACATATATGTGATAATATTTGTCTGGCTTAAAATACCATAAAATGACCTTGTACTACCGTATGTGATTGAATTATAAAGCAAAGTGTAAATGTATTCTTACCTTATGACCAACTACTATATGTGATAACTATACTAATAGAAGAATTGATCTTAATTATTTTATTGGCAAAATGCCCATCATTATAGTTAGTGTGTGCTAGAGGGTAGATTTGGAAAGATGTTTGTATATTGCTAGGCTGTTCTTTCATTCAGATTCTCTTGCGCTGGAGAGTGAGACAAGTAGTGTCTTGACTACTAAGCTGCAAAGTTTTACTTTTTTTTTCATATAAGCCATTAATTGGAAGTGAGGAAAGTAAAGTGACAGTAGTGAATTATGAGCTAGATAATAGTCCCAGGAGCTTCTGATTTCTGCTGTTGAGACTTCAACCTCCTTATATTAGTAACTTATATACTAACTCCTGGTCTTTTCTTTCTCATCATTCTAGAGTAGTCTTCTCCAACTTGGCATTCTTCAGATTTGTGCCCTAGGGATTCTTGAGTTTTTGTTCCAAATTATCTAGGAAACACCAGGCTAATGAATATCACACAATCTTATTTATATCATAAATTATTGATGAGAGATGGGGAGAGAGAGCAAGAGAGAGAAATGGACTCATAGCTGTGAGAAAAGGGCAAAGCATGAACATGGCTGAATATTCTATTATCCTATAGATGTAAAACTAAAAGTAAGGGATGCTGGCAGATATAATTAAAGGAACAATATCAGGTAAGTTGACTATTTGTAATGACTCTGATAACTGAGTCCTCAAAAAGTCTGCTGTGGCTTTCTTCTTTGTAAAGTTAAGTCCAGGCTGTTACAAAGGAATCCACAAGACACACATCTTTCATCAAAATGATATCAGCAAAATCACATAATCACAAACTCTGCCCCTTTCATACAAGCATGTGATGTTAATGCCACATGTACAAAAGGGCATGTCATGAACTATGCAGTCAGACTTTGCCGCATTAACTGTGTAGCATTAACTGTGTAGCTCTGCATAAGTTCTGATTCTGGGTCTAATATATATATATATATATATATATATATATATATATATATATATATATATGTAGGTCTTTGGTTATTCGGGTTTTCTCCTGCATAAAATTGGAAGTGTCTTGGTGACGTTTCGATGAAGTCCCATTCGTCATCTTCAGGCTGGTATTTTCAGCTTCGTGCTTCGAGGAGCACAAAGCACAATTTCACGCGGGAGAAAACCCGAATTGCTGCTTGAAGCACGAAGCTGAAAACACCAGCCTGAAGATGACGAATGGGACTTCGTCGAAACGTCGCCAAGACACTTCCAATTTTACGTGGGAGAAAACCCAAACAACCAAAGACCTACATATATATATATATATATATATATATATATATATATATATATATATATATATATTTTCTGAGGTTTTCGCGGGTATTTGTATGTAGGTCTTTGGTTGTTCGGGTTTTCTCCCACGTAAAATTGGAAGTGTCTTGGCGACGTTTCGACGAAGTCCCATTCGTCATCTTCAGGCTGGTGTTTTTAGGTTGGTTCCTCTTCTCATACTCTTTGGGGCGCTTTCCGCCTCCACCCCTTTGATGTGTATCGTAGCCATTTTCACTTTCTCTACGATGGGGTTTCACCCTAGAGATCCTGCATCCACTCATCCACAAACAAGAGAAGAGGAACCAACCTAAGGATGAGAGGTGTACCCGACCTGGGGAAACATGGGACGCCCTCAATTTACAAACACGAAAAAGGGGGAGGTGGGTGGTAATACACATGTAAGCAAAAGATGCAAAGACAAATCAATTGATTTTGTAGATGAGGCAAGGATTGGTCGGGCAGGACCTATCACAAGGTCCAGGAGCCGAGTGCAGACGCAGTTACATTTATAAGTAAGCTCTCCCATCAACCTGTTCATACCCTGATGATGATGGCAGTCATAGGCCATCGAAAGCTTGGTTTTATTTATTAAAACTTTATTGTTTATATTTCCTGGTGATCATTTTTTGTCTTTTGATATATATGTATATGTATATATTAGACATAGAATTTTCCTCCCTATGTATGCAACACATTCAATGAATACATATGAGAGTTTCTGAGACCAGGAATCTTATGCAAGAATTAGCAAAGTAGATATTATAACTACAACAGACAGTAGAAACATTTACAAAAATACATTAGAGGGATAAGGAAAGCTATCTACACTTAGCCAATTACATATTACTGTGGAAACAGTTCAAGAATGTCTGGACTGGATGTTTGCAGCTGGGAAGACATTAGGAAGTGACTAATATCAGCAGATAAGCAGGCAAAGCAAAAACAAAAAAACAAAGGACCCAAAGTAACTATCCCTCTATTTTCCATCTTTCCCTTCTGCTCAGTAAATCAGAGATGCTAAAGAATCACATGACTAACAAGCTTATATAATTTCTTGGCTCATCTCTCAATGGTCTATTTTGAATTCTGATATTTAATTTCTCATGATGTTCCATTCAGAGTCTCCTTCCTTCCTTCCTTCCTTCCTTCCTTCCTTCCTTCCTTCCTTCCTTCCTTCCTTCCTTCCTTCCTTCCTTCCTCCCTCCCTCCCTCCCTCCTTCCTTCCTTCCTTCCTTTCTTTTTCCAGGAATGCTGTGCATAGTTTAAAATATTTAAAGTAACAATAAATAAATATTTAAATAATTTTAAGGAACATGACCCCCTACCAGTCATAGAATTAAAATTATAACCAAATGTGAATAGTTCTATTGCTATCTTTTTATTGATAGTTGAAAAAAAAAGAAGATCTGGAAGATGATTTCTTGAATTGTACTCCAGAAGATCTTCTCCGTTTTGATGATTACAACCAAGATGGTTACCTAACTCTGCAGGAACTTTATACTGCATTCCGTAAGTAATAACTTATCTCTGTGCGTATCTTTCACTGTTGCAGAATGAAGGTAGGAAATGGTCTTTTTTTCCTTGCAGGGAGACGGTAATATCTGTCTTCCTTGAACTTTCCCAGATCTTCCCAGGCAATTGTTAATACATGTTTTGTGGGCCATCATTTTCAGTAGCAAATGACTGCCAGCAGTAAAGATCTGAGAGGGAGAGATAATAGATATTTTATTAGTGGAGGGAGATTAATACAATCAGTTTAAGGAGCTATATGTTCACTTCTTGCCATTGCTTTAGGGACAGAGGGATGTTTAGAGATCATGCAGAAGAGAGGAAACGTGAGCGTTACTTTTTATTAATCAGTGAAGGCAAGCCAAATGTTCACTGTGGTTCAGAATTTCTTCTATAATTTTACTTAGTTCATATTCTTATTCTAATCTTATTTGTTTGTTTGCAGTAACATATTTAGTAAGGAATACATTCTTCTTAAAGAATTATGGTATTTTTTTGCCATTGCAAATACAAATTGGCTTTTTTAGGAATAAATAGCTATTTAAACTTAGAGATATAGGCGTGATTTCAGTGAAGTAGTAAAAGAATATAGGGCTCCTTTTTTGTCAGCAGATCTATTGGTAATAATAATTTATGGAAACAAATGTCCATGGAAGATTGTTTTAGCAATAGCCTTGATCATTGTTGTTCGTTATTTACAATACTGACAATATTATGTAGAAGTAGTTATTTCTTTTTACAGATGTGGAAGAAACGGTTTGCTGCTGTTAATGTTCAATTCCTCTTTGTCTACTAATATAAAGAATCTTTGTGACACTTGGTTTGTTTTAGCACTGAGAAATATGAGAGTTTGCCAGGGAGGCTTATGGTTTTTCTTTTAATTGTGTCAATGTAATTCTTTATATATCTATATTGTGACTAGGTAACACTATTTCTTTAACAATTTTTATCCAATAAAAAAGCCATATTATTTTTATGTAGAAAGATCATTTTAATGTGATATTTAATGCTACAATGATGATGATTGAATCACTCTCCAGGGTTCCCGTCAACTTCAACTCTCATAAAATACAAGTGTATTCCATAATAGACTTGTCCCTTTTCTAGCTACTGTGATCTGCACTCAATTAGTTTCAGTCTTGAACTCTGATATTTTTGAATTATAGCTTCTATGGCCTCCTGATTCACTTAATCTAGATCTCATAATTACAGTGGAAAGTGCATTTAGACCTCATGGATAACATCTAGCAAGAGTCTATTGTTGTTACCCTGCCTCTGTTCTGGATCCGTAGTATGGTATTATTGTGTAAGTTTGTTTTAGAAAAGGAATATACCATGGAAGATTTAGAGGTACTTCCTCCCTTTGACTCTTCTTGGCAAATTCCCAGAAATATCACAATATTTCTGATAGTTCTTTAAGGAAACAGAGAAATGAGTGCAGTCAGGATGAGTTCAGTCAGGCACAGTTATTTATCACTAGTTCAAATATTGCTTTGTAGAAGTTAGGTCCCTAGAGGATATAGTCAACTGTACCCAGAAGTATTTTCTGTTAGATTTTGATGTTAAGAATATATATCTCAGGAAGACAATATTAATTTGTTTGAGATGTTTCTGCTTTTAGGAGCTATGAAGACATACATTGATTTAGTCTCCCTTTGATGTTTGGAATTTGAAAATGAAAGTTCTACTTTTGCCCTGGGAATTATGTAACTAATGGTATTTCATATCATGAATACATTCCTGTTCCAGATTTACCACATGAACATGGAAAAGACATTCTGAAATAGATTTTAATGTTCTTTTCCAATGCTTTGTTTTGGTTCAAAATTATTCTAAGACAAAAAGAAAAGAGAAGCCTCTTGTTTTTATAAATCCGTTTAGAGGAATTGTTTAAGGATCTGAAAAACTGTCATGTTTAATTATCATGCTGGATTTGTTTCATGTTTTTACATGTTTTTATCAGTGGAAGTAATCCATTGCCAGGTTTCCAGAATAAAAGCTATGACACAAAACAATAAGGTTTTGTGATAAGGTGATGTAAGAAAATATTTTGAATTGGAAATATCCTTTAAGTGCTCTATGTATGAATCAAAACACATCTTTTGAAAGTTTTATTTCAGGATGCAAGAAAAACCTACAGGATGAGTAAGAAAATTGTCTGCTTTGAATCTTCTGGCTATTCTGAAGATTGTAGTTAGGCTGTAGTTTCATGGCGTTTCTATCCCAAACTAGCCTAGGTGGCACCACAGCAGCACTTGTCACATCCCTGCTGCTATTGGTCTAGACTGGATAGGATGATGTGATGGTGGGCCACTTAGAGGAAAAAGCACAACCAGACAAAATAAAGCTGCTTGTAACTGCATGATTGCCAGCTTTTTTTGCAAGTTGTTGGATTTAATGCTGAAGGAAAATTAAAATTCATACGAGTATGTATGCAGGTGTGTGTGTGCGCACGCGCGTGCGCGCCTCAGGTCAGTCTTGATTCCTGGTAACTGGCTGAACATATCTCAGCAGTTTTCTTGGCAAGATCTTTTATAGCCTTCTTCTTCCTAGAGCTGAGAGAGAATGACTGGCCCAAGGTCACCAGGGTAGCTTTGTGCCTCAGGCAGGAATAAAACTCATGTAAAACTAGCTTTGTGCCTTAACCAGGCTACACCAAACTGGCTCTTTTGCTGCTTATATGAGTACCATCCACTATGTGTTGTGCTGTGCTTTATTTTGCAGATAATACAAATATGTCCCAACATTCTTCTTTATTTTACACAGGAGGCTTGCTAATAACTGCAGTGGTTTTGTAAAGATGATGCATTTTGGTTTGGCTGGTTTATGTACCCTTTTCCATATCCTTACAATATTTGTGTAAAGAACCAGCAGTGTCTCCCACTCCTTCTTTTATTATTTTGTTTAAAGCCAAAAATCAGGAAAAACAATACAACTGTTTTTTGCTGGGCTTCTACATGGCAGGCAAGCAGCAAAACAAAACAATCCGTGCCTACAAAAAATTGGCCAAAGAGCTGTATTAAAAAAAAAAAAACATGTATAGAAGATGTGCCAATTAAAAAGGAATGTTATAAAAAGAAATCTGCTCCCTGTTATGGATTCAAGGGGAAAAACTAATGGATTCTCAGCATTAGGGTGGGAATGAACAGTGGTCAGTCTGCTGGGAGTTAAATGAAACCCAGAACAAATGGCTGCTGATTCTGACAGTGAAGAGTTAAATCCTGGTCTTGGGAGAATCTTGCTCAGGAGTCTTCAAACTTGGCCCTTTTATGACTTGTGGACTTCAACTCCCAGAATTCCTCAGCCAGTGTGCCTGGCTGAGGAATTCTCGGAGTTGAAGTCCACAAGTCATAAAAGGGCCAAATCTGAAGACCCTTGGTCTTGCCAATAGAAATCTAAACAACTTCTGTAGAAAAGATGGCATCAACTTTCCTAACTAAGCAATCTCATTGACTATATAAAAATACCATCCAGATACTCTCCCATTGTTGGGAAGGTCTTTTTTTTCCTTCCTGATCTGTGTTTACTTACTAACCCTGTGTTCTCACTTTCCAAGTTGATCCTCTTCTTTGACTTGTAAATGGATCTGTGGCTTGTTACTGACATGGCTTCTATGACTTTTTCCAGCATTAGACACAAAGCTTGCATCTCAGATCCCCCTTTCACTGCCTTCAAACTGTTTCCAGTCCACATTCATTGTTATCTAAGTAAGAATTTTGTTGTGCTCTAAACAGATCTCTGCCTGATTTATGATTCTTTGAAATAGATTATCTCTTCTCAGTTACTCTGGGTAATTTATGATAACCCAATTAAAGCTGACAAAATTGTAAAGCACCTTTCTCTTACCTGCTTTTAGTCAAAGCTTTGCATAAGATACTGCCCTTGTCCTGTAATCTGTTGAATTAATGATTAAGAAGATTTATTTAAAGAAATTGAAATTTTTTTTCTCTGTTCTTTCTGTTTGAAGATGGACCTTTTCTAATATTTGATTCTAAACCAAATAGACTTTTCAGATAGATATGAGATAATTGTCTTAACATTGTTTTCTATAGGGATTTATTTTATTGTTTTCAAAAAATTTTAAAAATCATGCCCTCAGCCAGTTTTATGCAGCTTTGATGTTAGATAGCAGTATTATCTATGCTTGTGGTACTGAATTGAAAAACAAAGGAGTAACAGCTGCTTTGAAATTCTGTTTCCTAGGTCTAGAAACTCAAAACATTTGTTTAGAAGGACCCAAAATACTGAAGCATTTTTTTGTTATGACAAGAGAAAAAAAGTCAGTGAAAAGTTAAAATGGTCTTATTTTATTCTAAACTTGAAATAAAACAAAACATTATGTTACATTCAAGCCTCTACCAGAAATTGAATTAAGTTCACCTGAGGGATACTTAATAAGAGTATTTTCATATCAATAGTTCTCAAAAAGAAGGCAATGTAGAGTTGCAACATTTTCTGATTGCCTAGAAATAGGCAATGAAATCTGAGAAAAAGTTCAAAAAGTTATATAGAGCTGAAGATTAGTAAGAAGTCTTAACATTGTAAGTTAAACATAAAATGAACTGCAGTACCTGATCATAGTCCTATGATAGTTTCCAGTGCAGTCTTTCACTGTTAACAGTGTATTGATTTGCAAGACAGTCTCTAAATTAGAGTCTTCACTGGCTTAAAATTGTGTGATAATTATTAGGGGAGGCATAATTAAATTTGATTAATTATGGGGACATAATTAACTTTAGTTGTTTGTATGGCATACTAGCCAAAACTGACTGCTTCTGTCCTAATTTTTAGCAGTTGGTAAATACATGGAACAAAGCTAAGGCATAGGTTTAATAATTAATAAAATGCCTAAAAATATATAATAATAATAATAAAGTTGGAAGGGATCTTGGAAGTCATCTAGTCCAACCCCCTGCTCAGGCAGGAAACCCTATACCATTTCAGACAAATGGCTGTCCAGTCTCTTCTTAAAAACTCCCAGTGTTGGAGCATTCTTCTGGAGGCAGGT